GGCTAGACCAGAGGATACACACTGGTACAGATAAGAGCTGGAAACACAGGGAATCCGAAACAGATTAAACCCCTCAGGACCAATAAGGAGAGTAGCGATACCAAGAGGGTAAGCGGAAGGTGGGGGAGGGGGGGAATGGGGAACCAATCACAATGATCTACATATAGCCCCCTCCCAGGGGGATGGACAACAGAAAATAGTGGGTAAAGGTAGAGATCAGTCAGTGTAAGACATGACAAAATAATTTATGAATTATCAAGGGTTCATAAGGGAGGAAGGGAGGGTAGGGGGACAAGGGGGGGAATGAGAAGCTGATAGCAAGGGCTCAAGTAGAAAGACAATGTTTGAAAATGATGATGACAACAGATGTACAAATGTGCTTGACACAATGGATGGAAGTATGGATTGTGATAAAGAGTTGTCGGAGTCCCCAATAAAATGATTAAAAAAAAGAGTGAGCTATCTCAGAGGCAGGAAGTGAATCCTATGATCATCAAGAAGGAAGAGCCAGGAGTGAAGTGCATCTGAGATCCCTGCATGGGGAGGCAGCAGAGTTGCAGCAACAACACTGAGGGATGGAGTAGTGGGATTCCTGGCCCATGCAACGAGGGAAGCTGACTCCAGGAACTTTAGGCAGGAGGCCGGCTTGCAAAATGGGATGCCTGTAGGGCATGTGTCAACACAAAAGGAGCTTTGTCTCCCTTGATGGAGCAGGGCAGGCACCAAGGGGTTGTAGGGCTGGAAGGACCAGAGCAAGCTGTGCCTATTGGCATGGCTGACAAAAGGCACGCTGCAGGCAAAAGCACTTTATCCTTGTTTTCTGATCTTGGCTTGTTATGACCTGTTCACTTCCCTTGTAGCCCCCACATCACTAAAAGTATTATCCGTGAGCGTTGTGTGGTCACTGCAAGGGATGATTGGACCCACAGAGAAAGAGTTCTGTGGGCAGCATGGTTGGTCTCAGAAGATATCGATGGAGGGTGGAGGTATGCCTGACTTATGCCTCAGAGCTATCATGCTTGGGCAGATGCGGAGTTGGATTGTCCTTCGACCCTGTGTAATCAGAGGTCCTGTGCCATTTCCTCAGACCTGATGATGGAAGAGACTGAGTTTTGTGTATTGCTGTGCCCAGTTCCTTCCAGTGCCTACACCAAATACTTCTTGACACTGATCTTAAAAAAAGAAAAAAAAGGAAAACAACCCTTTTTATTGTGCATTGGGAGAAAGTTCACAGATCAGTTTCCCACTCAACAATTCAGACACATTTTGTTTCATATAGTGATTGCAATCTCCACAACGTAACATTATTGATCCATTTTTTTGCGGGGGGGGGGGGGCTTCCATTCTTCCTGTTGATGAATTTCTGTTGTACTTATGTGGACAAAGAAGGAATGAGGAAGGAGAGGAGAAAGGGGGAAATGCACCTTCTAAAAGCAGGTGAGAGGGGCAGTGGTTGGAGTTGGGCTGCTAACCACATGGTCAGAAGTTCAAATCCACCAGCTGCTTTTCAGGAGAAAGACAAGGTTATCTACTCCCGCGAAGGGTTAGTCTGGGAGACCTACCAGCGCAGTTTTACCCGGTCCTATGGGGTCGCTAGGAGTCAGAATCCACTCTGTGGCAGGGAGCTTTGTTTTATGTAGGAGACCCGGGTGTCATTCACTCCAGTGATTGCGTATTGTCTTTTTTTGAGCTTCCTGAACCATCCATCACTTTGCCCATCGTCTTTAATACTGTCATCTGCAGCTTGATTTTTCACCCCGGTCTTATGGAAGGCAGAACTCGATTTCTATTTCTGAGCAACGCAGTGGTGAAGGCGATGGCCGACTCTTCTCCAGCTTATCGGAAACCACTCGTGGTCAAGCCTAACAATTAACAGGGAGTTAACCTCAACAGCAGCCCCTGAACATTAGGGAGATATTAAAACGGAGCCACAAGACTCAGTCCTAGGCAAACAGCTCAAAGAAGCGAAAGTAGGAATGCAAACAGAAAGCTGTACACCTGGGTGCACGGCAGCCCTTCTTATACTAGCCCAAAGGTGGGAACCACCTAAATATCTATCAAAAGATGAAGAAAATGGGGTGTGTCCGTGCAGTGGAATATTACTCAGTCATGAAGAGAAACAGAGTCTTACAACAGGAATGAACTGTGAAGAACATTATGCCAGGTGAAATAAGATAGCTGCAAAAACAGACCTTGTGTGATCTCACTTCTATGAAATAAACAAATACATAAAAAGCCACATTTCTGAGTGACTCCCAGGGGTGGGCGGGAGGCTGGGCAGGGGGAGTCGTTGCTCCGAGGGCCCTGGGCTTCTGTCAGTGGAAGCCAGCTTGGAAAAGAATGGCCAGAGCGCTGGGACTGCTTGAGGAATATCACTGTATCATCCATGTAGAAACAGTGGCGTTAGTAAAGGTGTCGTTGAGCATATATGCAACATACAGACAAAGAATTCTATCTAGTCTTTGAAACAGGGTTTAAAACAAGTGAGAAAGAAATGACTGCACACCGGGCCGGTACGTTTTAGGCGGAGGCAGACAGCATCGTCACTCGCAGCTCTTTCCCTGTTCGAGTCACTGCTGGTCATTCAAAACACCAAGGGACCAACCTCGCTCGCTCTGTCTGGGGCCCGTTTTGTCATCCACAAGTGTAAACGTCAACCGCACACAGGGGGCACACCCAGGCTTTCCCTACAGAACGGCAGGGAAACGTGTGCACAGCATGCCCGAAGCCTTGGTGGTAAGGGCTCTTGCTTGGTTTTCTTCCCTTTGAGATGCTGGGTCAGAGGTGGTGGTAGTGAGCTGAGCCATTCCCCAAGCCCGCCTTTCCGCTTAGCCCGAATCTGGGTAGCCTCTTTTTCATCTGAGTTGGAACCAGAGTATCAAGGGTCAAAGGGCACAGCGGGGGGCTGTGATAACTCAGGGTAGCATTTCCGAAGGTCAGGCTCCCGCAGAACCTCCTGGAACGGATTCATTCACTGCCATCAAGCCGATGCCAACTCAGCGTAGCCGTATAGGACAGGGCAGAACTGCCCCTGTGTGTGTCTGAGACTTCCACTCATTATGGGAGTAGAAAGCCCAGTTTTTCTACTGGTGGTGGCTGGTGCTTTTGAACTGCTGACCTTGTAGTTAGCAGCAGTCAAATGTGCACCCACTCCCCCACCAGGGCTCAGGGAAATAGAACACCTGGTTTCAATGGGGGAGACCCTGAGCAGAGGCTCCCAAGCTTATCTGGCCAACCTTCCCCTTTTCAGGAAAAAAAGCAAAACAACAAACAAGTGACGCAGCAGCACCCTCCTGGCAATGACAGACTCTGAATAAAGTGTAGGTATCTGCTATTGCGGCCCCCTGGCTTGTTCCAGGGCTGACGAGGGGGCAGTATCGCCCATTGGGGGAAACACTGCCCTCGAGCAGAGAGAGCCAGGCTCATGCCTCAACTTCCAGTGGGGCTGAAAGCAGTGTAGGCTGTGCTGTCCCTCTGGGTGCTCGCTCCGGTTCAGCCTCTGTCACCCACATGTGCTGTCAGGTCCCTGCGGTAGCTCAGGACCAGAGGCTGTCAGTGACTTGCCAAAGGCCACCCAGCAGCTATGCAATATAACCGACTACGATCTTTTCCAAACCGTGTTCTCTCCGTGCAGAATGTTGACCTGCCAACTTTTAGACGGCGGTGAGCCTATCTTGGAGTAGGAAACCTCTGGGTACACGTTGGTGAACCGACCCGGGCGGGTTGTGTCCTCACAGAACATTTGGGAAGCAGCTGCCACTCTCTTCACCCCAAAGTGCTGGCTCAGAGGTTCCCAGTCAGCCACGGAAAGTCCCTTCTCCACAGAGGCTCTGGTTTTCCACGGGCTTCTCCGGCTGCTAAAATAAAACCGGGCTCATCCCTTTGCCCTCCGGAGCAGACAGGTGGGCTGACCTTCCAGCTTTAGTCACGGAGCGAAGAGGTCCGGTTTTATGTGGCCGGCTTGGCTCGCCTGGCTGCCAGGGTGCTCTCCTGTGCCAGCGGCATGGCTCTCCTCTGCTCCACACCGCTGCCCTGTGGCCCTCGCTCTCCGGCTGGTTACCAGACTGTTGAACTTGGCTCTCAAAAGAGAGAAGTTCTTCAGCAGAGGGGAAAGGAACCATCGAGCCCTGGGCTTGTTAGGTGCCGCTGAATTAATGATTTCCAAGCCCAGGGACGCCATGGGACAGAGTCGAACTGCCCCCTAGGGTTTTCTATGCTGTGATTATTGTGGACGCAGATCTTTCTCCTGCAAAGATGAACCTATAACTTCTCCCTGCCACGGAGTTAACTCGAACTTGGAGCGACACTGCAGGAAAGAGGAGGTCTGCCCTGTGGGTTTCCGAGACTCTGGGCTTCAAAGGGCAGACCTTGCTGTTGGCAGTGCAACTCATAACTCACTTACCCTCAGGGGTCCTCAACCTTTCAGTTAGCAGCTAAGTGCCTCGCTCTTTGGGCCACTGGGATCCCTGAGACATTGGGCCACCTATGGGCCTTGTACAGTTAAACTTGTATGAACCCTGCCATCTCTCCTACCCTGAGTGCTCCTATTATCCCACGAAGGCCATCACAGGACTGTCCCCCAAACACTGGGTCGACCCTGTAGAGAGTTAGAATTGATGTGTTGGAGTAGGCTGATTCAAAACTGACTCTAGTATGAGGCTGTATAGCACAAGGTTGACGGGATGAGAGACGGTCTGAGAACGCAGCAGCACAATGCATGTTTCCACAGGGCTACTGCACCAGGCCACAGGCTTATTTCCCGAAATGCATTAGTGCCCAAAGAATGACTGCATCGGACAATACACTCGCAATTGTCCACGGAGCTGAGCAGACTCTGTTGCTCACATTCCCATACAGGGTCTTTTTAAAAACTGAAAGCATGCAAAACTCAAACTCACTACCCTCGAGTTAATTCTGGCGCATAGCAGAATTGACCCCATAGAACAGGGTAGAACTGCCCATGCGCAGTTTCTAAGACTGTAACTCTTTACAGCAGTAGAATGCCCTGTCTTTCTCCCAAGCAGTGGCTGGTGGTTTTGAACAGCTGACCTTGCGGTTAGCAGCCCAGTGCCTAACCTCTATGATACTCCTTACTGAAACCACTAGTGCATTAAAATCCAAAGGAGGATGTCAAGTCAGCCAGAGTTGAATAGGCTTAGAATTTCCCCCCACTGTTTGCTTCGCCAGTTAGTTGCCTTTGTATGGCTTAGTGGTGGTCAACCATTTTTAAGGAGTGAGACTATCAGGAGGCCCATTACAAATCTGAGACATTTTAGGAAAGAAAAATCATAAAACCTGAGGGGGCTTCAAAAAGTTCCTGCAAACATTCCATGATCTTTCAATTCATTTCCCCCTTGGCAACTTTTTGAAGGCCCCTCATACGTCATTGAGAGCCTCTCTCTCCATTTTCAAAATCTGGGAGAGCTTGTGATTCAGACAGACCTCCCACAGGCGTTTTCGAATAGGACGATGTCATCAGTGGGAGGTGACCTTGGTTTCTCAAGCGGTGCTGTCGGTGTGTGCAGAGCCGGGTGAGGGTTCTCTGACTACTTCAGACGCACGGGCTAAGAGAACACAGTCTAACGCGGCGGCAGAGCGGCCAGGCAGTGGGAATGCACCTGGGACACGGAGCGTCTCACCAGGGAGCCAAGGAGCAGCGGCAGCCACCACGGTAAAAGTGCCAGCTCAACCGGGCTCTTTGCCACCAGAGAGGAGTGGATGCTCTCACCTGTTGAACGTTATTTCTGAAAACTCCAGGAAGAATCCCCAGGACCCCTTATGCACACAATGATAGAAAAGGGCTCAGCTCCAGAGGCCCCTAGTGAAACACCCCTGGTTGGAATGCACATTTCTTTCCCAAGGGTGCCGTGGGCCCAGAATTGTGCCGAGTGAGTTGGAGAACTGAGTCAGCACTTCCTCCTTCACGGAATCGTCTCCAGAATGCTAGGTCCATAGGTTGAGGTCTGTTTGTTCGACGCTGATGGTACCGAGCTCTCAGGAGACCATTTCTCTTGTTCTTCCCCGCACCTGCCTTTCCGCGGAGCTGACCAGAAGTCTGTGGAGAAACAAAGCCTTCCCAAGAAGGGCGAGCCCGAGTGATGGGGCCAACACACAACCGTGAGATACAGACACGAAGGACTAGGCTTTGGTCCCAGGAGCCTGAAAAGAGGAGCCTGTGTCAAAGCCCAATCCTGTGTCCTCCTCTTGGGCCAGGAGTCTGGGGAAGCACCCCGTTCTTCTGAGGAGGTGACTAGCTGCTGGGGCTGGCGCATCTACCTCAAGTGGGTGGCACCTTGCGCTCATCTCTCCGCCACATGCGGAGGGCCCCCCCCCCACTCCTGCTTTAGGGTGTCTAAAGCAGCAGGTGGTGTTGCAAAGGTGCCCAGGGGCCAAAGGAACGTCTCTCAGGAGGAACTCAGAGTGACTCTCCTTTCTGGGCACAGAGGCAGCAGGAGGGAAGAGCGTAGCATCCTTCCGCCAAACCTGGCAAGTCCAGGAGAGCGCACTGACTTTGGTGCAGCGTCTGGCCAGCTGCAACCCCGCCAGCTATGGATGAGAGGGGGTGGGATGTGCCTTGGCTCTTTGGGGCTTGTCTCTGTCCAGTGCCTGCCTCTCCCCTTGCAAGTTTGAGTCTCCCTTCAGCTCTTCTTCTTCTTCCTGGGTGAATGCAAGCAGATTTGCCTCTAAGAGGGTGAGTGGGGCATTGGGTGGTGGTGACGCTGCTGCAGTAGTGGATTCTTTGTGAAAACAGCACCGAGGGTGATTGCCCCCTCTCCCCATCTTAACACTTGCTGGAGGCTCAGAAGACGGGGATCTGGTCTCTCCGAACCACGTCCAGGTCATCATCCAGAGTTAACAGAACCTGAAATGAGCCGGGGAGGAGAAGGGCAAGGAACACACGGTCATACACAAAGTTCTCGGTCACACACAAAGTCCGGCACGGTGGGAAACTAGATTCCCTCACTGATGTCATGCCCCTGTGGCCCTCGACCGGTGCCAGGCCCTTAACAGGCACTTACAGAAAAATAATGACAGAGTTTATTTATGGAGCCTCTCGTATGTGCTACTCTATGTGGGGCTTCAAAAAGCTCCTGGAAAAATGAAATGAGGAGAGAGGACTTGTTTCCATGAGCCTTTTTGAAGCCCTTTCATAGAGTGGAAGAAAATGGACCAACATCCTGCCCCGATGGAGCTTATGTTCAAGAGAGGACTTCACACATGAAACACACACACACACACACACACACACACACACGCACATGTGCACCAGTGAGTCGATGCAGACTCATACAGGACAGGGGAGAGCTGGCCCTGTGAGTTTCCAAGGCTATAACTATGGGAGCAGGAAGCTCTGCTTTCTCCTGCAGAGCGATGGTGAGTTTGAACTGCTGGCCTTGTGGATCAGAGCCTAACTTTTAACCACTACTCCACCAGGGCTCCTCTCAAGACAGGAAACAAATAATGTAAATATACATTATACATCAATACACCAACAGTCGTGACAGCAACCAATGGTAGACACAGTAGATGGAAACATATGCTAACGATAAACAGTTAAACGATGGGACGAATTAGGGATGCAGGGTGAAGGAGATTAATTTTTTTTGATAGGGTGGTCAAGGAAGTCATTATTGGAAGGGGACGTTTGGGTCAAGACTTGAAAGGAAGGAGATCTTGTTGCACTGGATCTGACTATATAAGAACTGTCCCTCCTGACAAGGGATAACGAGTGATCCAAATCAGTGGTGAGGAGGGTGTAGGAGACCTGGTAGGTCGTGGATCAAGGGCAATGTAACCAAGAGGAATTACTGAAACCCAAATGAAG